CCCCCCCGGCGCCGCCCTGCCCCCGGGGTCCGGACTCGCGCTCGGCGAGCAAGTGCGAGCTTGCGAGGGCTTCCTGGAGGAATTTCCTCTCCAGAACTGGAACCTGAGAGTCCGCTCGGCGCGGGCACCCTGCCTTTCCGCGGCCTCGCGTCGGAACCGTCCGGCCTCAGTTTCCTCCGACTTCCCTCGGCTCCTGCTGCCCGACGGGGCTGCTTTGTGAAGGCTACCAAGCCGGGGTGTGCTCTCCCCAATCTGTTATTCAAACAAAAGGCCTCTAAGGCTGAACTCCAACAACCCATCCCCTGGATCCCCACTTCAGGTTGATGAGCTGATTTTTTTTTTCTTACCAAGTAGTATTTTATTATAAAGGAGCCACGCCCTGGCTCTTAAAGGCGCCCTCACTCTGTTTGGCCATGTGTTAACACTGCAGCTGGTGTGTGGGTGACCTCTTGTGAGCCACCCATTTTCCCGCCTTCTGATACACGTCCTCCCACTCCCTTCGAGGATTTAGGGATGCCAGGGGGAAAGAAGGTGACCACAGGTGGCGGCAGCAGTGCTGCCCCGACTGCCGCTGCTACATTCACCAATGCTGCCCCTTCTGGGGTCAAGCGTTTGGAGACCAGCGAAGGGGCTTCAGCCCAGAGAGATGATGAGCCAGAGGAGGAAGGAGAAGAGGACCTGCGAGACGGAGGCGTCCCTTTCTTCGTCAACCGGGGTGGGCTCCCTGTGGATGAAGCCACCTGGGAAAGGATGTGGAAGCACGTGGCCAAGATCCATCCCGACGGAGAGAAGGTGGCGCAGCGGATCCGTGGGGCCACGGACCTGCCCAAGGTGAGGCGTGGCTTGGGGCAGGGGAATGGGTCACAGGATGAGCTAGTGACCTGGGGACCCAGAGAGTAGAGCCACACTTCCCCTGGTGGGGTATGGGACCACTGGTACGCTGATTTAAAAATACAGACAGGTCGCACCTGCCCAGAACCTGCTGCTGTCGAGGTCAGTCCATGAGCGAGGCTCTCCTCCGTGGCTTTGTGGGCACCACCACAGGCAGACTGAAAAACACACAGATGTAGCTTGACCTCCTTTGGCTGGTGACACCTGCTAATCCAGAGAACTATGAAAGGGCCGATAAGGAGTGACTAAGAAGCTACAGGGCTTTGTATGTTAAAATGTTTTCATGCAGTACCTCACTGAATTCTCCCAACAACCTCGAAGTAAGTACAGTTTGGGTCCCCCCTTTACAAATGAGAGAGGTCAAAACTCAAGTAGGAAGTCAGAGTTCCAGAACCGGTGAGTGGGAGAGTTGGGACCCAAGGCCAGGTCTTTGGGTTCCAGCTCCTCTGCTTTGTTTGACACTAGATTCAGGGAAATTAAGAGCAAAGACGAAAAAAGCAACGGAGAAGGATAGAGTTAAATAATTTTCTGTTTTGGTTGTAACTCCTCCACAGCAGCAGCCGTTCAGTTGTGTTGGCCAACGAAGGCAGAGGCTATGTCTCATTTATCCTGGTGCTCAAGGTCTCCTGTGTGCCTGGCAGATCGGGCACTGATTTGTGCTTGTTGAGTGAAAGGGTGTCAGAGACTTGCTGTGCTGTCCAGAGCTGTATGGAAATACACGCCGTGTAGGTTATTAGAACATTACCAGTGAGTCTGAGGAAGCAGTGTCCCAGTGCGGAGTCCTTTGGATAGAGGGCAGAGCACAGTGCATGGTCTCACCCGCTGGGGTCAGAAGGGCAGGGCTGAGGAGAATAGAGTTAGTGTGGCTTCAGTGTGGGATAAGTGGTCTGTTTTGTTATTACCCAGTTATTGGTAAGGCCATCAGGAAATAGCTCCTGAAAAAGAGAATCAGAGGTTGAAGGTTGCCTCCTGCCTGATATTTCCAGGGGCAGTAATGTAGATTAATTTGAATGGCTGCATTATTTTCCTCTGTACTGACTTATAATTTATTTAGCTAGTTTTCTACAGTTGGACATTGTTTCCAGTAGTCTTAAAATGAACACTGTGCTGAACATTCTAAAATACGTATTTTTCAAGGACCTGAGTTCGATCCCGGTACCAAAAAAAAAAAATTTATTTTGGAATCCAGCTTTGATCTCCCCCCCCAGGATAAATCTGAGCACTTACCTACCTAGAGTGCATGCTGGGTTCAATCCCCACCACCAACCAAAAAAAAAAAAAAAAAAAAAAAAGAAAGGGATCCTGACTTGGTTTGGATTACTGCCATGTGGTCATGTGACCCCTTCCACCTGAGCCACAGTTTTGTCGTCTATAAATTGGGGTTGAATGTGGGGAAGAATAAAGGAGAAACCATATTTTGAAGTAACTGTAAAGCTTCAAGCAATACTTTTTTTGTTTTTGGATGTTTATTACTTTTTCTTCCCTCATGAGGAGGGGAAACTAGATGTCAGCATTTGTGTCAGTGAGGCCAGAGTCACACGCTTGTCCCACATGAACAAGCCATGTTGCTTATGTCTGAATCAGGCTGCAGAAGAGTGCAGATGGTTTCCTGCAGAACTGTCACCTTCCCTGGCAGCTAAAACACATCAGTGAGCTCCTCACCAACCGGTCAGTTATGTTCTCTTGTCATCTTCCGTTCTCGCGGATAGGAAGGTCACAGATGAAGGAGTGAAGCTGTTTATGGGGAGGAGGGAGTTGAGACAGACAGGAGGATAGCAGGGTGGACAGACTTCTGAAAGGTTCAGAAATTCTGCAACTTCCCCTCCTGAGGCTAGGGCAAAAGCGTCTCAGAGAAAGCTTGAGTCCGCGTGAGGTTCCTACCCTACCTCAGCCCAGAGGGGAGGGGAGCCCTTGGAGTCTGGGAAGTATAGCGGATTGGGCGACCTTGGAGAGGAGTAGCTGTGCTTGGATGCCAGACTTTGGGCTACCCCTCCCCAAGTGTCCCTGGAGCTGACACAGAAGCATTTCTGCAGAGCTGTGCTGGGGTAGGCCCAAGAAGGATTGTGTTGAGACTGTGCAGTGTTTTAAAAGACCACTTGAGCCGGGAGTTAAAATTGGAAGATTTCTCACAGAACCATCTGGAGTTTTGGCATTGTTTCAGAAAACAAGAATATTTGGGAACAGAGAATCTGTAATCCCACGTGGCAGCTGGCAGCCGAAGCTGGGAGCCGCTCCCCTTCCCCAGTTAGCCACAACACCCTCACCCAAGCCCGCCTTCCCCATCACGTCACCTGCTTGGCACTGCAGCCAGGCCCCCTGCAGGGCTAACATGATAAAAAGAGCACCCTGGACTCCACCACGGTTCAGATCCTTGCTCTCCCGTAACTGCTAAATGAGGAAGGAGTGCAACCTCCTTACTGTGTTACCTCAGCGTAAAATGGGCACGATGCGAATTCCTACTTCAGAGGATGTTGAGAGGAATTAGTGATGTAAGCTAGCAGAGCCTCATAAGGTGAGGATCTAACACAGGAGACCAGCCACTCCATGAGAGCTTTGGAGAAGCACTCTACAGGAATGATACCAGGGCCACAGTTTCTGGAAGAATCCCAAAGACAGCAAGAGCTTATGCCCTTGCTAAGAATCTCTCTTTGTTCTTTCAAGCTGCCACCATCTTTACAAGCCCCATCCCTTTACCCAAACCCTTCTGCCAAAGGTCTAATGGTGGCTCTGGCTACCTAGCACCAAAAACATCACATTGCTGGGGGGCCATTGTGTGCTGACTGTGGTCTTTGGCACACACTAGTGGCAGTGACAGCAGGCGGGAGTCAAGCCTTTGTTACCTGCCAGGCTGTGTTCTGAGATGCCCACAGAGCATCTCATTCACACCACAAGGTTGATTCTATAATGGTGACCATTTTACCAGCAGTGTCTGAAGCCCAGAGAAGCTCGGGAGTGTCACTGAAGTCACAGAGTTAGTATTCGACAGCATGTCTATTCTGGAGTGGGTTTCATTCACCTCTAGAACATCCTGTGTCTTGTCCACATGTTCACCTTCAGGCTCTCCTGCTTTCCCCAGGCCTCCTTGCTGTGGCCCAGTGAACAGAGGGGCTGCTCCAGTGAGGGTGTCCTAGGAGAACTGTAGGCTTTTGGGGTTCCTGGACAAGGGGTCCCTTGACCCTGGTCGTGGAGCAGGAGTTGTCTCTGAGATCACTCACCTTCATGGTACGCCACATAACCCCCACAGGGAGGAAATATTAGCAGAGGCAGGAGTTGGGGGCAGATCCAAGCAACCCACCCCAAAGTGGGCCTGGTCATCTGCATGTGCAGTCTCTAACTGTGTTAAGGGCATGAGTGTGCATGTAAGGAACACACAGGAAAAAGGTGGACCTCGGCCTGGGCTCGAGTGGCCCCAGTCAAGGAGCTGGCTGGACAGCTCCTTCCAGCTTATTCTCAGTGGCCTTCAAGTCCCTGTTTGGGAACCCCCAGATTTTTATGTCACTCAGCACTAGTTACTAGGCCCTCTGGATTGCAGATCCCGATGATGCACTGGAGACTGCCTGGCTCTGGCCCAGGACTGGCTCTGGGTGAGCTCGGCAAATGGTTTTGGCCTGCAGCTCTCTTCCTGTCTGGCAATCCTCATGGGAGGCTGTGATCGTGTTTCTTAAGGCCCCCAGGTCCCCACTTTACAAACAGGGATGGTCCTGCCTCCATCTGAGGAGGTCATGTGACTGGATCGATATGGGACTCTAAAATTCCCCTAACACCTCACCCACCTCCCCACCCCCGTATTCTTGACCTGGGGAACCCCTCCAAACCCTCCCTTGGAGAGTTCTGGAGCCTATTTAGCACAGGATACTTGGGCAAGAAGGGGAAACCCCTGTCCTTGGGCTTTCTAGGGTAAATGAGCAGCGGCACCATTGGGTGGCTCCATTGTGAGGAGGCAAGTGATGGGAAAGGGAACTAACTGTCTCCAGACAAGGAGAGCTGTCAGCTTCTCAGCCCTGCGGTTGCTAGGGACTGTCCAGACAGGAAGGAAAGGACTGTGGGGAGGGAGAGCTGTATGTAAAGCTGATATTCTGGACCGAGGGCCCTTCCCTCCTGCATCTCTGCCCTTTGGGAGGAAGCAGTGTCTTTTAGACACTGTCTCATGTCCCCCTACTATTAGCAGCACCCTGGACACGTGTGTGCACTGATAACTGCTATGTCACTTCCCTCCCTGTCAGCCATGGCAGCCACATTACTGAAAAGGCGGTGTCCTGGGGACTCCAGCCTTCTCACAGCTGACTGTGCTGGGGGCCAAAGGGGGAACCCAGAGGGGCTCACCATGACCCTTGAAGTCTGTGTCTTTTACCCAAGGACGTCTCTGGGATCTCTGGGCTTTATGATTGGCCAGAATTCAGTCTCCCTGGCTGGAGAGGGGCCCACACCTGCACAGTGGTCTCCTTACTGCCTGATGGCTGGGGTCTGCTGCCCCTCATCTGAGTCCCAGCAGCCTGGCAGCCACAGCCTGTGCATTCCCACTGCACACATACTTCTCCACCCCCCATCTTGGCCAGGTGTTGGAAAGTCCCTTCTGGTGAGGACTGTTTTGTCACCTGTACTGCCTACGTGTGGACCTGACAGGAAGAGAAGGTGCTTCAGAGACCCTGAGGCCTCTGTGCCTTTGTCAGAGCCCTCCAAAACCCCCAGGCTCCAGCAGGTGGAGCCACAGCAAGACTGACCGGTCTTAGAATACATTGCTTTGGCTTGCTGGCACACCCTTGACGGTTCAGACTGGTGCTTTGGAAAGCCTGGAAAATCTGCTGTGCTGCTGGGGTGGGTGATGCTTGCTGCTGAGGTCATACCCACTTTTCTCAGATAGCTCTCCAAGCCCAGGGTGCCACCCTGGGGCATAGGATGCAGAGAAGACAAGTTTTAATCTAGCACTGGAACCGAGTATATTCATCTGTTTGTTTTTACTATAATGAACTATCTGAGGCAGGTACTTAGGAAGAAAAGTGGTTTATTTAGCTCAGAGCTTCGGAGGCTGCAAGTCAGTTCTGCCTCTGGTGAGGGCCTGCTGGTGGCAGATGGCGTCATGGCTGGGGTGCAGGTGAGAGAAGGGAGAGCATGTCACAAAACAGGAAGCCAAAGCAACGAGGAGGGGCCAGGCTTGCTCCTTTTTGTGACAACCAGAGAACAATTTTCATCTTTACTGAGGCTTGCCCCAAATGACCTAGTGGCCTTCCACTGAGGTCTATTTCTTATAGCAACCACTCTGAAGACCACGCCCCAAGCAAACCACTTCCAAAACAGCCCAAAGCAAACCCCAAACCCAAATGAACTTAACCCTGATTCTGGAATTCTTGGTAAGGTGTGAAGTTAATTAATATTTACAGTTCAAAATGATGAGTCAACCTGTTTTTCTAAAATTATTTTAAAAAGCATACAATTGGAACATCAATAATAAGTTCCATGATAGAAACACCTGACGTCAGGTGCCAGAAGGGGAGGAAGCCTGGGATGGGGCCCTGGCAGAGGGTTCCAGAAGGAGGGGCTGCCAGGGAAAGATGCTCATGGTAGCGGGGAAGGGAGGCTGTTCTCCCCAGGGTAGGCTGCTTCCTATGACCAGAGCCCTTTCTGTGTCCCCAGATTCCCATACCGAGTGTGCCTACTTTCCAGCCGTCTATGCCAGTCCCCGAGCGCCTGGAAGCCGTGCAGCGCTACATCAGGGAGCTGCAGTATCCTGTCTGGTCTGGGGCCAAGGTGACTGCCTGGCTGGTGTGATGGACTCAAAGGCCAACTGAGTTTATTTCAGAAAAGGTTGGAGAGGGACCAGCTGAGCCACCTCCTTCCCCAGCTCCAGAGGCGCCATCTTTGAGGCATCTTTGTCCCATGTGGATTTCATCCGGACCAGCCTCTGGCTCCCTGTCACCAGCCTCCTGCTGCTGCCGGCTGTGACAGGTGATAGGGACAGAGAGAGAAATGGCTCCTGAGCTGGGGGACTGGTAGTCACTGTCGACCCTGCAGCCCCAGCAGAGGGGGAGTGAGGATGCTGGTTTCACAAAACCCTGGTTTTAAAGGCAGGGAGAGGGCTAGGGATGTGCTGTAGTTCAGCTGTTGAGCTCTTGCCAAGCTTGCTTAAAGTCCTGGGGATCCTGTCCTTGGTTTGATATCCAGCATTGCCCCCATATAAACAAACCAGAAGGGAAGCAAAAGAGGATTTTATGCTCCAGGAGTCACCTTCCACATCTTGGAATATTTTCCTGGTTTGTCACCTTTGTCTTCCCTAGCAGGAAGGGAAGCTGGTTGCCTACATACAAAGAGCGGGCCTCCTGGATCCAGATTGCCCCTGCACCTGCCTAGGGTTATGTGCCCTGGGTCCTCACATCTGGCTTCAGATGTCATTCAAGGTGGGTCCTGAGTGGGGAAACTCCAGGCTGAAGACTAGAAACTGTCTGGTCCCTGTCTTGGCCAGTGGGGATGCTGTGGACTGGGGAGGGTGGGGTGAGCTCCGGAGCACCTGACGTGCTGAGCCAAGACCCCTACCCTCCAGCCTCTTTCACTTCCTACTGCTCCCCAACTGTTAAGTCCCAGGGCTGGCTACCTTCTCAGTCTGCCATCCTAGGAAGATAGGTCAGGGGAGAGCAATGGAGGAGGAAGGAGAAAGCTAGTACGGTACCTGTTCCCTCCTCTCCCTTCTGGAAGAACCAAGTCTGAAGCATCCTCCACAGTATCCTAACTTTGTGAGGTCCTTATCTGACCCGGCACCCTTGGCAGTGCTAAGCCCCAGTTTCAGGGGCAGGGCAGGGCAAAGGAACTCCATCCTCTAAACCAAACCAGGAAGTCCTTAACCAGTGCCTGCAGGTACAATCACACAGGGACACAGTTCTTTGAAATTAAGAAGAGCAGACCTCTGACAGGGTAAGTACAGGAGGCAACGGTAAGTACCCCAGGCTCATATTTCCCTGGATGGATTGAATCTTCTGGGGAGCCCTGTGGTTTGCCTTTCCATGGAAGCTTAGGAGATAGGTAGGGACTCCCCAGGGAAGCCAGCCAAGGTTGTGGGAACACCTTGAGGCCTCAAGGAGGTTCATGTAATTACCTTTCTCCAAGTCCTGGATGGAATCCAGCCTCCCTAACCCCTGAGCTGTGTTCCTGTTGTCCAGTTGGTACAGTGTCCTGGGGCAGTACCCTAGCCTCTTGCGGGGTGGGAGAGTCTAGTTGCCCTCCTTGGGGCAAGACTAGATCTGGGGCAGCATTCAATGAGGAGGGAGGAGCCAGGCCCTGTGTTAAAATGGCCTGAATTGTAAGAGCAAGAGCAGGCTGGGGGGTCTCGAGGCTGCCTGTCTGAGGTCCTGTAGTCAGGTTGCCAGAGAGCAGTTGTAGTCAGTAGCAAGGTTTTGGGAGAAGCTGTGGTTGTGTCAGGAGTGTTCACTGCTCTGAGGGGAAGAAGCAATGCCAAGGTCCCACCACCTCCCCACTACCATTGGAGGAGGTCCCAGCACAGTCGTTGTTGAGGTCCTTTTGCTGTGCCTGCTTCCTGTCCGCGCAGGTCTCTGGCATAGGCAGGACCCAGGCATGAAAGAAAGGACAGCAGGAGAGGGGACTTCCTTGTCACCAGTGGCCTTCTCTCCACTCTGTCTGGCTCCAGACTGCAGACAGCTTGATGTGGGACTCTCATCCTTCCAGCTGTTCTGGTCCACCCTGTCCCCTCCTGATATTCCCTCACTGGAAGGTGCTGGAGTCACTGTCCTCATAGCCCTAACTTTCCCACAGGCTGATGGACCTGGCCAAGGAAATGACCAAAGAGGCTCTGCCAATCAAATGCCTGGAAGCTGTGATCCTGGGAATGTATCCTTCCTCCCAGGGATGGGGCCTGGCAGCTCAGGCTCTCCAGACCTCGGCTTCCTGCTCTGGAAGGAGGACTGAGTGGGATCTGGGGCTGTCCTGCCACCAACATGGGGGATTTAGGCCCCTCATAGTCCTCAGTTCTTCCTTCCCAGGCTTTCTGGGCAGCTCTTTCTTAAGTCTCATGGACACAGTAACCTTGTCAGAATCCTGAATCGGGGAACAACGTGGGCTGTTGTGCCATTTCCAAGAACCTGACTGAGAGAAGCAGGCAGGAGGCCAGTGCTGACGTGTCTAGGACGTGTGATTTGTGGAGATGACTCATGGGGTCCTAGAAGCAGAGCTGCCTAGAGACACATGGGGGCTTCTCTGCCGTCTAGCAGAGATGGGGCCCGCAACTGTGTCAGCAGGGTCACTAGAGGGACAGATAGGCCCCCATGAGGGCCCCCAGTCAGAGCAGGAACAGCACTTCAGCCTCAGTCCTACTTTATTTTCTTTAGTCATTTTATTATAAAATGTTTAAATGATACAGTGAAATCCCGTGTACCCATTACTTAGCCTCACCAGCTCAAAACCAATTGCATCTCATCTCTCCCCTACACTTATTCCCATCAGCTTTTAAACCTGTGGCAGGCAGCCCACCTGGCGCAGAGCTCAGAAGAGCACAGATTGGGGGTGGCCAGGATAAGAGGGAAGGGAGCGCATGGAACAAGGCGTCTGTCCCTGGGACAGATCCCAGGAGGAGGAGGTGAGAAGCACACCCCTCCTGGGGGCCGTGACCCTGGGGTCGCCCCCCTTGACACGCCTGCCTTAGGTGTGTGAGGGCCCAGGGCTACCTCTGTGGTGGCCGACATCTGTGACATGACAGGCCCTGTGGCTAGTAGCCCCGTTCATAGGGCCCTTTGCTAGTTAAGCACAGGACCCCCAGAACGTCAGGCCACTGCCACCACGCCTTCGAGACCACACACCAAAGTGAGGCTCTCAGCCTCAGACCACACAGGCGTGGCTCCAGGGAGAGGCCTCGGACCCGTAGCCCGGGCAGGGTCATCTGCTGGCTGGTGAGAGAAGAAAACACGAGTGGTCCCCGTTTAGGCCAGGGCTTCTTCCCTGTGTCCCTGCCGCGCCCTTGGTCACTGCACATACAGCAGGCTCTGTACTCACGTTGCCCCGGCTTGTTCCCACTGCGCCCTGAGCCTGTGCATTTCTTGCATACTCTCCCTGATCACTGGCAAAAAATCGGGCTTAGTGAGCACTGTAAAATGAGTTTAGTGCTGGAGGGAACGTGGTAAAGTATCGAGGGCACAACCTCAGGTCAGACCGATCTGGTCTAGAAGCTGCTGTTCACTGTGTAATCACCAAGCAAGCAGTGAGCCTCGGGTCATCCTCTGCCCAGGTAGGTAATGGCAGTGCCAGGCACGGCGTTGTAGGACAGTTGAGTGAGGCGTGCACGGAGGGTACCGTACAGTCTGCAGGCATCATCTGCTGCATGCTTTGTCCATTTATCTCCTACCTGTGCATTCAGGAATTTTTACTGAGAAACTATTAAGTGCCTGGATCTGTGTTGGGCCCTGGAAAAACATCAGAGAACGTGATGGCCAAGGTCTCTATCCTCAGAAGGTTTACATTCTAGCGAGGAGAGAAAACAAGCAGGTAGACAAATTAGAAAAGGGCAGATTGTGCAGAGCAGTGTGGAGGAGACAAAGCAACAGATTTTCTTTAGAAAAGTCATCAAGCCTGGCATAGTAGCTTACTCCTATAATCCCAGCACTCAGGAGGCCGAGGCAGGAGGATTGAGTTCAAAGCCAGCCTGGACTACCTAGCGAGACCCCGATTCAAAAATACCAAAAAGGAAATTTAAAAGGCAGCAAAGCCCGCTAAGCCTGAGGCCTGAGGAGAAGCCAGTGAGGGAGGAGCACAGTGTCCAAGGGAAGAGCCGGTGCAGAGGGGCTCAGGTGGCTGCAGAGGGTGAGCAGGTGGGGCAAGAGGTCTGAGGTTGGCATGGGCATGGGGTCTGCTGGCGCTGCTGGCATGGCCGTGAGCTTGGTTCTCTTTGAAGGGCAAGGAGCGGATAGTGTGTATGTAGGGAGGGAAGCGCCAGTGAGCAGAGACTGAGCAGAATTGTCTGCATCTCTGAGGACGTGGATGTTTGAAGGGAAGAATGTGAGAGTGTCTGTGAGGACGCGTGGCTGAGAAGCACGTGAGTGACAGGAGGGCATGGTGGCAGATGGGCGAGGGCTGGTGTCATCTGTGCCTCGGCTTCGGACTTCTGGACAGCCTTGGCACCAGCGGCCTTGTCCACTGTCACCTGGGGAGCCCAGCTTGACAGCACCGCAGCACCACACCCCTGCAGCAGGCACAGGCAACCCTGTTCCCAGGCCACTTTACCATGCTGCTAGAGGGTGAGGAGTTGGGGAGGAGCAAGCCGTGGTGCCTGCACTCAGGAGCTGTGGGTTCAGGGGCCCACTGGGCACACACGTCCCACCATCGGGCGTTTCGCTTCTGGTGCCCTGTCCTGGCCTTTTCCTTAGCTCGGGCTGATCACCAGTTACCTCACCAACAGCATGCCCACCCTGGAACGCTTCCCCGTCAGCTTCAAGACCTACTTCTCAGGGAACTACTTCCACCACATCGTGCTGGGGGTGAACTTCGGGGGCCGCTACGGCGCCCTGGGCATGAGCCGGCGGGAGGACCTGATGTACAAGCCGCCGGCCTTCCGCACGCTCAGCGAGCTCGTGCTGGACTACGAGGCCGCCTACGGCCGCTGCTGGCACGTGCTGAAGAAGGTGAAGCTGGGCCAGTGCGTGTCCCATGACCCGCACAGCGTGGAGCAGATCGAGTGGAAGCACTCGGTCCTGGATGTAGAGCGGCTGGGCAGAGAGGACTTCCGCAAAGAACTGGAGCGCCATGCCCGCGACATGCGGCTGAAGGTCAGGCTCAGCCAACAAAGTCAAGGGGGACTGTGTCCCACCCTTCCTGGCCTGTGGTGCAAGGATGGAGGGCGAGGACTTTCAGGGTTTCCCTCAGCGGTCTTACTGATGAGGTCACCCCTCAGGTGGGCATGTCTGGGGCAGCTCCGGAAAGAGGAAGTGGGTCATCTGGGTTTGCGTGGTGGTGGACCTTGGGCAGTGGAGGTCTGGTTTATGGTATCCCGATCAGGGGGCCTGGAGTGAAGATCACCTGGTGGGAAATCCTGGCCCATTTCGGGGGAATGGTAGGATGGGGTGGTGAGTAGCCCCCACCACTGCTTCTCTTTTGCGTCCTGACTCTAACCAGTCCCCTGCTTGAAATAAAGCACGAGGCAGAGGTCAGATGAAGAGAAAAGTTAGGCTTTTTCCCTTCTCCCTTTTTCCCCCACAGATGAGCAGATATCTGGGGATTTAGTAGTTTACTGGGCTTGAGCTGCTAAGGAGTTGGCCTCCAGAACCTTCCAGCGGGCAGAATTTTGGGCTCCCCCTGGGGAGCTCCCTGAGGCTTTCCAGGGCCTCCTCCCCTCACTGCTCAGGTCTGCTACTCTATCCCTGACCCTCAGGGCAGCCTCAGCACATTCCTGTCCCATTTCTCTCAGCCCCAAGAGGCCAGCAGGCAGGTGGTTGGTTCTAGGTCCATTTCCAGAATAGGAATCCCAGAGACTTGCTCAAAGGTAGTCAGAGGCAGATGGGACAAAGCTCAGCCTCCTGAGTTTTGTCCCAAAGTACCTGTGGTGTCCCAGCGGGGTTTGTAAGGGCTAGGGCTCCTCTAACCCTACCAGCCCCCTTACAGGCCAAGATCTTGTGGGTTGACAGTGACTCTCTGAGGGTAGAAATGGGAAGCAGCAACCTGAATTATCAGAGGGCTGCTCTCTTTGCTTCTGAGTTGGTTCCATCAGCTCTGGGTGTCCTGTAACCTGGCTCTTGCTGCTAGTAGTTGTATTGTCTCTCAAGTTGCAGGTCCGATCTAGAGTTGGAACCAGCAGTTACCTTGTCTTTAGCACTTTGGTTTCCAACCTGTTCAGCACTAAGGATTCCCCCATGTTGTGTGCACCCCTCCAGCTCCCTATGTGCTATTCCATGTTTGGAAAACTCAAGCCATGTTGATCATGCTGCATAAAGGCTTATTCATTGTCTATGTCCGATTTCTCTGATTTTCTCAATCTTCTCTCATTCTGACTTCTGATTGGCTCGAGTTAAGCAATGCACTCTTGGGGTTGGTAGGATCCCTGCTTAAGGCTCAGACATGGACCATTTACCCACCTGGTACATGTACCCTGCATGGGTTAATGAGTCTGTTCTCAAGGGTGTTTTACAATCTTACGACAGCCCAGTGATTATGAGGAACTGCTGTCCTGGCAGCTTTAGTGCCTGGGAAGTAGGTTTGGAAGGACTGGGAAAGAGAGTACTGCTTGAGACTTCCTGGGCCTGCCCAGAGCAGCCTCCAGGGACTGGGGGTTCCCAGCAGGGCAGGTCGGGCTCTGGAGCAGCCCTGGAATATGCTTTCATTCCTTCCACCTCACCTAGATTGGCAAAGGGACCGGCCCTCCCTCTCCCACCAAGGACCGGAAGAAGGATGTTTCCTCCCCACAGAGGGCCCAGTCCAGCCCCCACCGCAGGAACAGTCGCAGTGAGAGACGGTGAGAAATGAGGTTGCACGGGGGG